TTTTTTGCAACCTTGGCCAGATCTGTGCTTTGCCACAATTCTGTCTCTGAGCTCTTCAGGCAGTTCCTTTTGACCTCATGATTCTCATTTGCTCTGACATGCACTGTGAGCTTTAAGGTCTTATATAGACAGGTGTGTGGCTTTCCTAATCAAGTTCAATCAGTATAATCAAACACAGCTGGACTCAAATGAAGGAGTAGAACCCTCTCAAGGATGATCAGAAGAAATGGACAGGACCTGAGTTAAATATATGAGTGTCACAGCAAAGGGTCTGAATACTTAGGACCATGTGATATTTCAGTTTTTCTTTTTTAATAAATCTGCAAAAATGTCAACAATTCTGTGTTTTTCTGTCAATATGGGGTGCTGTGTGTACATTAATGAGGAAAAAAAATTAACAAATGATTTTAGCAAATGGCTGCAATATAACAAAGAGTGAAAAATGTAAGGGGGTCTGAATACTTTCCGTACCCACTGTATATATATATATAGGAAATAGGAAAAATATATAGGAAATTTGTACCTTGGCATTGAACATTAAGTGGCATTGAACAATGTATAGTCAAGATATTAACAACGTGAAAATGTGCTATGACTATTTGAAATACTTTTATTGAAATATTACTATTTGAAAATGTTTAGAACTTCTTAAAGTACTTCAAATAATTCTCATCAAAAAACTGCACCATTACCAATTAAGTTCTGACATTCTGACATTCTCTGTATTGGATCGATGATTGTTGTCATAAAAAAAAATAAAACTCGACTGCATTTGTGCACCCAGCAAGGACAAGGATTTATATTTCTACACATTTGATAGCCAGGGGAATCACCAAGTGCACACATGCAAAGATATCACTCATTCCTCTGCCATGAATGAGAAAAGCCAAAGAAATGAGCTTCTGATGTCCACGGCAGGTCAGCCAGGTGAAAGTGGCAATCCTGTTTTCAGTTTGAGATCCAAAAGATGTGTGGGCATATACACAGGTATCACAAAGTCAAAGAAAGGATGTGCCTCAAAAATAGATTCCACACAGCTGATAGAAAAACAACATCAGGAAGAACAGATCTGTACTGTTTGAACATGCTCTACAGCATCTTGTCCATTCTTAAGACTGGATTTTTCTGTTGTCCGGCCCCGAACATTCAAACCTCTGACGATGATTCAGACTGAACTGGCGGTGTATCTGGTCTCAAATGTTAAAGGGAATCCACATCAAACCCTCTCTTTAGGCTCATTTAAAAATGTGCAAAACCTGTGCCAGACCCATCACCGGTGATCCCTGTGAGATGTGTGCTGGTTAGAAATGTGTCTGAATGCGGTCCGACTTGTTCTGATGTCAAGCTGACGCAAGCCAAAGAGCTCTCTCTAAAGGACGTGGCCATGTTGCTGCAGGTGCTCCTCCCCGACAGCACTGACCAAAGGCACGATGGGAAATGTCTTGCTGACGACACAGCTTAAAACCATTTTTTATTCTCTTCTAAAATGTTTAGTATTGTTTAACTGATATGTATGAAATTCTGTGTAAATATTCCCAAACATTCTGACATTCTCTGTATTGGATCGATGATTGTTGTCATAAAAAATAAAATAAAAATGGATGGAAAACACAAGACATGTATGTGGAACTGATTTTTTTTTAAAGGTGTTTTGGACAAACAATTACTTTTGGTACATAGGTACCAAATAGCCTTTTAAAGAATAAAATAAGCAAACAGTTTGATGTTATACTTAAATACTTACAGTGTGGAGCTCACATTAACACATTACTGCAAAATTGACACTACAGAAAAGACAATGAAATATCCATGAAATATGTCTTTAATTTTCAATGTAAACATACATTTTCAAATACAAGTCTTTTAATAATATATCCTCTATGTTTTACAATAGGCCTATATATGTATTATTGTAATATCACCGACTGGTAATAGTTTTAAAGAAAAATATAATCAGTAAAAAATATTTTAAATATTTTTATTCATGTACACAATAACACATGTACATATGTAACAAATTACTACATCATTTGTGTAATTTAATAATCAAAGACACATAATGATGTAAAAACTACTAAAAGAATCAGCATTAACTCTCGGTTTATCATTCAATACTTTAACTTGAGTTTATGGAGTAACTTCAGTTAATATGCCGTTACTAGATACAGCAAATGTACACTAATTATAACATTTCCAATTTATAACTTCTACTGAAATTTCACATGAAACAACCAACATTTCACATACGTCAAAAACAGAAACATAGCTCTTGTTGTGTTTTACGTGTAAAGTGTTCAGGTGTGGGTGAAGCCCATGAGCCCAAATTCTCTCCATATTCTATCTGCGTCATCACCAGAAATGTTTTATTGCGAATTCATGTGAAGAAAAGAACTGTAAAGAAGGTTAGAAAAGTTTATACACCAGGGTTTCTTCCTTTATTTTTACGCTTCAGTGTTCTGGTCTGAGCTCATGAGCCAGAGAATCCAGCATGTTCTCGAATGTTCTCCGTATTCTATCTGCGTCATCACCAAACTGCTTTTTGCAATGTTATGAAAAAGCTCAAATTGTAAAGAAGCTTGGAAAAGTTTATACAATGTTCTGCAGTTAAAATTACTTTAAAACTGATACCGGAGAAAAGAGTAAATTTTTACATTTTTTTAAACGATAAATTATATCTTCACATTACATTTTCAATCTAAATACCAATCTTTGTTTGATTAATTGTCTACTGTATTTTTACCAATAAAAAATACTGGTGTAATATGAAAGATTTGTAATAGTTTTGAAAATAAGTACTGAGTCAGAAATAAATATTCCACACTTTTTAAGTATTTATTTTCTTTTGTTGAAAATGTATACTTCCGCATGGCAAATTACTACATACATCATTCACTCTATATCAGTTTGTCATTCTTTATCTCACAAGACCAACTAAACAAATCTCACATAATGGTAATTATTTGATAAGAAGTCAACTGTAATTTAAAGATTAAATGGATGCAGTGATGTTAAAACATCAGCAAAAGAACCAGTATTAGCTCATTTGATCATTCAAGACTTTAGTTTACGGAGTCAGCTAACCTTAGTTAGTATGCAGTCACTGGATGTCCATCAAACACCAGACTTTCCTTTCAAAAGTTATTTGTTAAACGCGTATGTAGGTTGCTCTCTTTGAGAATAGTCCAAATGAAGTCCAGTGGAATCTCTTCAAGGCTACTACAGCATGCAGTTGATTTTCTACTTAGCAAGCCTAGAGCAGTGTAAGCCGGCGCGCCCTCTGCGTGTTTGTTTGACCGCCTTGTTTTTCTGAGTCAAAGGAATGGAGCATGACTAAAAAACACATTCTGAGTGTTACTACACTGTCTAAGTTCCTCAAGCTCTAGGCAAAGGAACACTCACCGCTCCTTTATACTTGCCCTGCCTCTCTCTACACACAGATTGAGACTTGTCATTGGGGTGCCAGAGCTCAGGCTAAAGTTGAGCTACAGTTTCAGTGCAGTGGGGGAAACACAATGAGTATAAGCATACAACATTACAACATCTGTACCTTGGTAATGGTAATGGTGCAGTTTTTTGATGAGAATTCTTTGAAGTAGTTTAAGAAGTTCTAAACATTTTCAAATAGTAATATTTCAATAAAAGTATTTCAAATAGTCATAGCACATTTTCACATTGTTAATATCTTGACTATACATCAATGCCACTTAATGTTCAATGCCAAGGTACAAATTTCCTATATATTTTTCCTATTTCCTATATATATATATATACAGTGGGTACGGAAAGTATTCAGACCC